CTACTGCTGGCATGCTCCGAGGCTTTGCTCCCCATCTCCCTGGTCTGCTGGTCAGACCAGGGAGACGGGGAGCAGCTTTTCTCGCCCCGGAGGACGGGGGCGGCGGACCGTGGCACATCTGGGCGTCCCGCTGCTCCCGTCCTCCGGGGCGAGAAAAGCCCGTTCGTAACTGCGGATCCGACGTAAGTCGGATCTGTGTAACTCGGGGACTGCCTGTATTGTAAATATACAAAAGTTTCTATATTGTGAGTGTTACAACCATGCACAACAGGGTTCCCAATCATAGTATAATTGAATACTGGGCCTGATCCTGGGACAGAGAACCTGTTAATCCTAAAGGTGGGTAATTAGAATTTAACATAATCTTAGATCAAGCTACACCGTACATTGGGTTTGGGAAAGTACAGTGGTGGCATACAGCTTGGCCAAACCCAAGAATCAAGATCTGTTTGTAAAGATTTTATATTTGAATTAGCCATTAATCTGAAAGATTCCCTAAGATCTTTATTACCACCTAACCAAAACTTGAAGTATTTGATTAAAATAATCATTCTTGAACCTGAGCCTTGTATTCTATACATCATATTAGTGTCAAATGAATGACATAATTTATTTATCCTACCATAATTTATCCCACCCAAAATGAGTGTCAGAGTGGAAGTTGGTTTCCATTCTGCTTCAATAAAGGTATAATTATTAGAAGAAAAACATTATGGTAAATTTCCAAAGAACTGACAGAGGATTTAATACTCTTTTGCTTCAAACTGATTCCCATCACATTTAAAAATTCTGGTTTTACATTTTGCCTCTGCTAAAAACAAATACAGAGTTTTGTCAAATAAACATACTTCTGAACTTAGATTTTATGTTAAGAAACAACCCAGGGTCACGCTGTCTAGTCTAATTTGGAGAAATAACCACAGAACTGCAAGATGAGTGTTCATCTCTGAAAATGATGAAATCTTAAATGAAGCTTCCTGTTGAAACCACGTGAGCTAGCAATATGGTCACGAACAAAAATGAAAGTTTCTACTCACCTGGATTTCTGAAATCATAGCTGTCATGTCTGCTGTCATCGCTGGCCCTTGATATCTGCTGTATCTCCTTTTCCCAGAAAAACACATTTGAAAAGTCACTGAAGCCACCTTTATTTTCTACTTGATGTTCAAAAGACACAGATTTTTTTTCAAGGCAATAGTCTGTGACATCACCGTCATCGTCACTGAAATCATCACTGAAATCAGTCCCTGCAGAAGCCATGATAGCTTTATTCTGATTCCTGACACTGTCTTCAACTTACATATGCTTATTAGATCTGCTGTTAGTCTTCAAAACTCCTTTTAGGAAACATACATTTCTCTGTAAAGGGAAAGATTATGGGCCTTATTAACTTCATAAATTTCTATAAAATCATTGGACATTTTGGAAGAAGACAGTAAAATGTGATGAGTCCAAGCCAACAATATTTACTCATCTCCTTCACATATTAAACATAAGAAAATAATATACAGTATTATTAAAGGAAGGGATGTATACATTATAAAAACCTAGATAATTAAACCACAAGAGTTATTTTATAGATAACAAGTACATTATTGCACACTTGTGTTCAATAACTATACAGTTCCACTAAAAAAAAGACAGCATACAATTTCCATCAAATCCTCATACTACTTACCCGTAATGCTATGCCTACATCTGATCATGTAGCATGAATCAACATATATTCAGGATAGCTGTCTGCAGATATAACTGTCTCTTAATTATGTTATTTGTTTACTAATCAAACCATGATTTGGAAATAAAGAAAATTACTCATCAGGCAATGTTGCAAGCTCCTGTGAAATCTTGTGTAACAGCTAACAATGTCTCTTCTTGGAAGTGATTTTAAAAATTTTGATTTTAGAACACTTCTTTTTTAAAATTCTCATGATTCCACCAAGTTACAGAGCTCGTTGGGGCCCTATTTTTCATTTTACTTCTCCTGCTTCATTATTCTATCCCAGTTATTCCAGTCCTGAAAATCTTTCCCTTGATCTGCCAGTTATGTAGTAGTTTTATGATGGACACTTAGTCTATGTCTAGACTGAAGGCTTCTTTTGGAAGAAACTTTCCCTAAAGAGATCTTCTGAAAAAACTTCTTCCAAAAGAGAGCATCTACACTGCCAAAGCACATCGAAAAAGCAATCTGCTTTTTTGAAAGATAGTGTCCGCACTGAATGGACGCTCTCTCTCATGTTAGCTGTGATTACTATGTATGGAATGGCCACCAGGGCACCTGTGCTTTTTCCTCTTTCCTCTTCTCTCAAAAGAACTCCCTCTTCCCTGTCCACACACACCTTTTTCTGAAAGGGCTCTTTTGGAAAAAGGCTTCTTCCTCATAGAAAGGGGTTTACCAATGTCAGAAATACCCCTCTATTCTTTCAATTTTCTTCTCAAAAGAACGCAATTGCAATGTGGACGTAAATGAACTTTTTTTGGAAAAACAGTTGTTTTTCCGAAAAAAAGAAACTCTGTAGTGTAGACATACCATTAGATGTCAATTAGTGAAAAAGAGAGGAACTTCAGAGTAATTTGCTTTAGGGACCTTAGACTTTGAGTTATCTCCATTTCTGAAGAGCTAATTCATTGTATTGTTTAACTTTCCCTAGTTGCAGTCTTTTTTCAATGAAAAATAAATCTCTGAAATTCTTAAGTTCCTTAAGATATTTGCCAAAAACTCTCCAGCTTGTGACTTCAAATGAACCACCATAATCCAGAGAAACAGTAATGCCACCATTTTAAGTCCAGAATATAATATATTACAGTGCAAGAATATAATATTGGTGTCATATGTGGATGCAACTCAGAATATCAAATGAAGAATTTACTTTTTTTCTGCTTCCTATAAACTGAAAGTCGAGATTCTTTGAATCCTGCAAGAACAGAATGTAGGATGGAAAAAAGAAAATAGAGATACCGATGATTTTTAGCCCCAACAGATGTTAACACTTGGACCACATTTTCTATATTTGGGTATGTCTACACAGCAACATTATTTTGAAATAACTAGTCTTATTTCAAAATAACGTAATCCACTTCTACACAGCAGGCAGTTATTTCAAAATACTGTCAAGCTGGAGGACTTCTTACTCTGACTCCTATACCCTCGTTGTATGACAAGTAAGGGAAGTCAGGGGCAGAGTGCTCTATTTTGAAATAAGTGCGGTGTACATGCTCCCAATTTTGAAATAAGCTATTTCGAAATAAGCTAAGCAATTGACGTAGCTCAATTGGCGTAGCTTATTTCAGAGTTAAGCCTTGCTGTGTAAACACATCCTTTGTTTAAGATTGCTATTTCAACTTCAGCTATGCAATTAGCATAGCTGAAGTTATGTAGTTTATTTTGAGATTAAGCTTACTGTGTAGACGCAGCCTAAGGGCTGTTCCCTAAAGATATGACTGAAAATAACCTGTTCCGCCCATAGGAAATTGGCTGAGGCTTTTAGACAGTAAAAATGTAAGGCTACATCTAGACTGGCATGATTTTCCGGAAATGCTTTTAATGGAAAAGTTTTCCTTTAAAAGCATTTTTGGAACAGAGTGTCTAGATTGGCACTGATGCTTTTGCGCAAAAGCACTTTTTGCGGAAAAGCGTCCGTGCCAATCTAGACGCGCTTTTCTGCAAAAAAGCCCCGATCGCCATTTTTGCAATCAGGGTTTTTTTGCGGAAGACAAATCTGGGCTATCTACACTGGCCCTTTTGCGCAAAAGTTTTGCGCAAAAGGACTTTTGCCCGAACAGGAGCAGCATAGTATTTCTGCAAGAACACTGACAATCTTACATAAGATCGTCAGTGCTTTTGCGGAAATTCAAGTGGCCAGTGTAGACAGCTGGCAAGTTTTTCCGGAAAAGTGGCTGATTTTCCAGAAAAACTGGCCAGTCTAGACACAGCCCAAGAGTTTTGGCAGGCCTTGCAAACATCTCCAGCCGCCCACCCACCCAAAGATCCCCTCTTCTTCAGTCTATCTTATTGCCAGTTCTGGGCGCCCTGGACCCAGGAGACCCGTCTTTCACCGTGCCAGCCACGGGGAGTCTCCTCTCCCACCCAACCTGCTCATGCCCCTCACTCAGTCCCAGCCCGGAGCCCCTCCCTGCCCCTCCCGCCCGTACGGAGTTCCTGCTAGCGCTCCAGAAAAGGGAGAGCATCGCAGTCCCCTTCTGCCACGGGCTGTTGTGCTCCGAGCTGCCTGTTCCGCGCCGCCGAGAGGCACTTGTGAAGGCAGGAGACACTCCGCTCTGCAGACCCTACCTGGGCAGGAGGCGACACCAGCGGGAGGAGCTCCCGGGAACAGCTACTGGCCGGCCGGGGCGGAGGGCGGGCCGCCTCTTTTATGCCATGAGCCGTGGCTAAGTTTCGATTCTCCGCACACACGTAACCGGGATGGCTGTGAATCACGGCGGGAGGGGAGGGGGGGTGGGATGTCGGGCCCTGAGCTGCCTGCGCCCCTCCACCGCTGCTGCTCTGAGATAAGGCTGCCCGGGCGGGAGGGGGAATGCACACGGGTCTACAGAGCTGTAACGATGCTGGCTTAGAAACCGAGCTAGCTAAAGCGGTACAGCAACTAGCGGTGGGCGCAGTTATACGGATAAAAAGGTGTTGACTTCAGTATAGCTTAATCCCCAATGCAGGGCTGGCCTTAGCGAAAATGATGCCCTGGCCGAACCTGTCTTTGGGTGCCCCTGACCTTCCCATGGTGCCCCCATCGCCTTTGGCCCCCATGGCAACCCTAGTCCCTGCAGCCCCCATCCTGTGCCCAGTAACTCCTGTCCCTTGCCCCTCCTCCCTCCTAACCCCTGCATTTGCCACCTTCACCCCAACACCTGCACTTCCCTCCAGGGGCAGCAGGTTTGCAGAAATTTTAGTGGTGCCCACAATGCCCAGAGACCACAGCCCTCCCCCACTCCAACTCTTACCACCTCCATCCCCACCTAAGTCTCTGAGAAGGAGTTTGGGTGCAGGAGGAGTGAAGGGTGGGGGCCTGGAGGGGCTTAGTTGCAGGCTCTGGGAGGGAATGTGGGTGCAGGTAGGGGTCAGGGAGCAGGCTCTGGGATGCAGTCTTGGTGCTGGCTCTGGTCTGGGTTAAGGCATGGGGATCCTGGGCGCAGGTTCTGTGAGGAAGTTGGGGGGCTGAATGGTGGGCTTGGGGCAGGACAGGGGTTGGGGAGAGGGTGTCAGGTGCACAAGGACATATGAGAGAGTAGGTGTGGTATGCTTAAACGAAGCACACAAGATCTTTTATGGGGGAAAAGGCAATACGCCGCATTTATTGAGAATACAACGGTTGCATATGCTTTTCAAAAACATACACACACACACACAAAACATCATGTATACACAGTTCTGCCAGATGATATAGTTACCAGTCCAGAGTCTGTGTCAATCTAGTGGCCAGCTAGATCGAGCACAGGGGGAAGCAGGGTCTTGTCAGTCAATTGATCCAATACCCCTCTCTAGACAGTGGCAGATGAACCCAAGTTCCAAAGCAAAACACCCTGCTTTTTTATAATCCGTTTCTCTTGTTGAAATCCATGGATTCTGCTTTGTCAACTTGTGACCAGAACATTATCTTTTTGATGTGAGTGTTCACAAAACATCTCTCGAAGGCTCATCCTGTAATCAATCATCCTTTCAGGGTGCTTGCTCTGCTTTAAGGTCGTCAATCTGCCAATTATCCAATCTTTTTGTGAGTAGGGGGTATACACTGATGGTTATAGATGGCTCCTCTACAGCCAGGTTGTCTCATGCTCTGGCCTTGCCCATGCTCACTCACCCTCCTTCTTCAGCCATCTGGTTCTAAAGCCATATAACTTTGCATCTTATCTTGACACATTCACATTCCCTTTCATACACAAAAACTTTCCGAGGTTACAGATTTGCATGGCAAAGCAGAAGCGTTGTAAATTAAGCAATTAAGGCTCGGTCTTCAACATTAGCAAAATTCCTCTAATCTTATTAACACAGCGACAATATCCAAAACTGTCTTTCTACTTTAGAACATTTACTAAACTTCAGAACAAAGAAAACAGACCTTCAACTGAAAGGACTTAATTTGTAAAATATTAAATGTATGTTAATATATATATGCCTTATATTGCTATATTATTGCTACATTACTACTATATTATTATGCCTAAGATAAGAAATATAAAAAGAATAAAACTTTCAATCCTAACAGGTACAGAGTGCCACACTTATCTGGGGCACCCCCTTTTGGTAGTAGCTCCCCACGGCTGCCAACATGTACATTCCTATGGCCAAGGAGGAGGGTGTCTCCATATGCTGCTGTCAGCAGCTGGAGCAGTGCAGCTGCCCACCCTCTTCCCCAGGCTACAAGGACATATGCCAGCAGCCAGAGGGGAAAGAGCAGTTGGAAGCACTGCTGGGGAGGGTGGCTTTTAAATCCTCTGGGAGTGACAGGCAGAGTCTGGGGACACACAGGGCACCAAGGGGACTTAGAAGACAGGGGACAGCAAGCAGCAGCAAGTTTTGGTGGAGCCTGGCCCTAGGCCAGGATTATTCCAAAAAAATAAAAATTCTGTGCACAAAGTTAAAATTCTGTACAATTCTGCAAATGTCATTTGTCAATAAATAAATGTGGAGGCTGTAGTACGGCAGTGGCAACCACACTGCAGCCTTCCACTCCCCTCCCCAGCTGGGACAGGAACTTGGCAGTGATATCCTTCTGTGTGCCTGTCAAAAGGCCACAGGGAACTTGATGGTTGGGATGTCAGCCATGATCCAAAATCCATTTGAACGATAAAAAAAACTAGCTGATACCAATAACTGATTCCAACTCTCATCCAAGCCCTTGCCAACCAGGGCCTTCACCTCCCAAATGGCCTCTGTATTTCCCCCTAAGAGGTGCTTAGAATGTGCAGTTGAAAAAGAAAAGGAAGTATATTCAGGCACCCATGGTTTTTTCTGCCCTGATTTTTAACACCTGGTTGCCACAGACCACTCAGTAGGACTGTACTTAGAATAACACAGCACATAGTTTCAACAGTGCTTCAATAATGGGCCTGGAGCCATAAGCCAGCCAAGGGTCATTTGAAAAGTGGATCTTGTTTTGGTCTATTTAAGATGAGGGGAAATGTGCCACATTCATGAAGAGACTTTTACAATCCCAGTTAACTCTACACTGTTTAAAACTCCCTCGTTCAAAATGCTACTAGCTGCAGAGGCAGTTGTGGAGATACTTGGATCCACAAGAAAAAAAAATTCCTTTCCCCTAAATACATGTTCCCTAAATGTCAAGAGCTAGTTATCTTCCTCCCCAGCTAATTCTGCAGCCTCCATTTCTGCTTTTCTGCTGCCTGTACATCCCCTCCTCCTCCTCCTTTTCTTTTAGTGTCAGTTTCCTGTTGACACGGGCATATTGTTAATCATGAGCAGGAGCAAACACCACCTTCTTTTATTGTCATTTAACTTGCCCCTCCTTCCCAGCCAGGGTGCGTGTGTACCTCTCCCTTCTCCCAGCTCACAATATGCTACTGATCTTTACTAGGCTTAAACTTCAGAGCAGAGGGAGGCAGTATGAAAAGGATACTAGTGAGACTGCAGGGAGCTGTTGGCAGAGCAGGGGGAGAGGTGCAGCTACTGTCTTCCAGGGGCACCAGCCTGCTCCCTAGGGGTATGTCTACACTACAGCACTAATTCGAACTAACTTAGCTAATTCGAACTAAGCTAATTTGAACTAACGGATCTAGACTAAAAAACTAGTTCGAATTAGCGTTTTGCTAATTCGAACTAGCATGTCCACATTAAGTGGACCCTGAACCGGGGTTAAGGATGGCTGGAAGCAGTGCCGGCAGGGCATCAGATGAGGACTTAGAGCGTGGAGCTGCTGCCTCAGGCTAGCCAAGGGCTGTGCTTAAAGAGACCCGACACCCACCCCGGACAGACAGTTCTCAGGGGTGCCCCGCTTGCAAATCAGTCCTGGCTTGGAGTGCCCTGAGGGCCCCCA